ACGTACTAGTCGTACATTACTATATATATATATATATATATATATATATATATATATATATATATGTGTGTGTGTGTGTGTGTGTGTGTTTGATTTGAACTATTTTTTTAGTTTAAAATTTTATAATTAGAGATAAAAATAGATTCACACCATCTTGAGAATTTTCAAAACCAAAATTACATTTCATGACAAAGTTTGGAAAAACACTCTACTTTGATTGTTTAAGGGTGCTGCCTTATGCAAACCACATCGCTCACCAAAATTCGTTAGTGCCAAGAGAGCTTCTATCAAAATTAAGTTTGAAGCGGTTAATCTCTGTGGAGTCCAGAAGGAGCGAGGCCGCATCTTCACTTTTCCCATGAGAAACAAATTTTGTAAATTAACCATGACATCCGCTTGAGAAAGGCCCCAGCTATCCTTAGTTACGGAGTACCAATGCCAAATGGAGATCTTAATATTGTCTCGCAACTGGTCAAATGAAAGGCTAATACTGTCAAAAGTACATCTATTCCTTTCTTTCCAAATTTTCCAAAGCACCGCCCCACGAGCAATGCACCAGACCAAATAACCTCCAGAAGGCAAGTGGTGAAATGAAAACTGTAAAATAATGTCCGTTACCGATCTCGGAAGAGAGGCATAGACCCCCAGTACACCAAAGAACCAGTACCAGATTCTAGATGCAACATTGCAACGAAGAAAGAGATGATTCTAAGTCCCCTCGTCAAGTTTACATGGCAAATGTTAGGAAGCACTTTACGCCTTTTGATTAGGTTATTGATCGTCAATATTTTATTTTAGATAGCCAACCATAAAAAAACCTGTATATTGTGAGGGCTAGGCCACTTCCAGATTTTAGCTAAAAGGTAGAGACCATCTCCATCTATCATGAAAAAATTACCTATAACATGATTTCTTTTCTCAGGCATTCACAGAGCGTGGATTATTTTTTCTTGGCCATTCAGTTAAAGATGTGACAAGAAAAAAAATTGAGGTCGTAAAAATGTGTTTCAACCGAGAGAGAAAATGGATAGTATGCTCCAACAATAAGGTAGACTTTCTAAACTTAAATTAAACCCCAAAATTGTATAATATTTTCATTTACTCCCTCGAATCTTGGAAGGATTTTACGACCCCTTGATGCAGCCTCTTCAAGCCATCAAATAATTTTCGATAAAAGAATTTCCTAGCCATCAAATTATTTTCGATAAAAGAATTTCCTAGTTGCATTTTCATTTGGAAGAGAGAAGGGATGTTGGGTTTCTTCAAAGGGTTGCAGGCTCAGATTCTAAAGACTGTTTTGAGCTCGGCATTGCCGTTAATGATAAAGCATTGCCGTTAATGATAAAGGAGAAGATCTCAAAGACCACTTGGTGTTGATGCTGGCTCTTCGAAGATACGTCTTTGCCTCTAAGAAGAGAATCAAGAAAGCTTAGGTGTTAACGTTTATCTCTCTCTCGTAATTCTCTGATGGGAGGAAATCTCTCTTGCATAGGTGGTTGGTTAAGCATCCTCCTAATCATATTTCCTTTTGAGGCAGTTTCCTTCGTGATGCACTGTAATAAGATTTTGGATTCTTTATTTTCTCTCTCCTCTCTCTCCCCCTTTCTAGCAATGGATCTTTGCCTATGTTTATGTAGTAGTTTGAAAAAGTTTGGCCAAGACAAATGTTCTATCAAATGTGTATAATCATATTGAGTTTATATATAGATTTTTTGTCCTCTCTCAAGTGCGTATAATCATATTGAGTTTATCTATATATTTTTAGTTTAACCACTCTCAGTTATGTCTAGTTTTACGCATCTGCAAGTGTGTGCTTGTGTATTTAGAATTTGGTTAGGTCGAGTTTATTGATGCCTTGAGTATATTTTCGCCTTATAATTTGTAAGTAGTAAATAGCTGAAGTTGGGATAATAGTTATGTAAACCCAGTATTGGAAATGACATGCATGGAAAACATTCTCCTAAAAAAAATTATATACGAAAGAAGAATATCAGGTATACACGAAGAACTTTCAAGTTAAAAACAAAAAGGTCGATGACATCATAAATTGGGTGGCTGGGGTGTATATGCTTATAAATTGGATAGCATGCGAGAGGTGTTAGTTGGGTAGGGTATGTCACAATTGGGTAGCTGGGTAGCAGTATGGTTCAGTTACTTTAGTTATACTACTAACTCATATGAGTATTTATGAGTTATACTCCAGTGGCTACTAACTCCTAACTCATATGAGTATTTATGAGTTATACTCTAGTGGCTACTAACTCATATGAGTATTTATGAGTTACACTCTAGTGGCTACTAACTCATATGAGTATTTATGAGTTAGTCATGAGTTATACTCTAGTGGCTGCATGACAACCAGATCCCCATCGAACGTAGAGGAGAGATTTGTGTGAGATAATGAATCCCCACTATCCAATGCAATATCCAATGCTGAAGAAACATAGTTTTCTATCATGTCCGTAGACGATCTAAGGGTCCCTGTATTCCTTAGTCATGGGAGGGATCCACCAATTGAGTTTTCAGGCTGATATCATCATCCACCAATTGAATTTTCAGGCTGATTTCATCATCATTAAGCTCTGAAAGAGCATCAAACATGCCACCGTTTACTGGGGCAGATTTCTTCCGAAACATCAGTTCCTCACCGCCTTTTTTTCACCCGCCAAACATCCTCACCATTTTAGTTTTTCTTGTTCTCCTGTTTGAGAGATCCCTCAAAGCTGCGTTTGAATGTTTTGGTTCTTTCCATGGGATAATCCCTTGCGCCTCCTATATAGTTCAGCTCTGTAGCCAAGAGACTTGCATTTGATGCATACGACCTGTATAAATTCATATAGAATCTTTTACCGCATTAAGCAACTCTAAGTTAGCCAAAATATCCTCTCGGAATTCGACATCATTTTTTATTTCTACACAGATCCTTGCCTCTCCCTTAGTTTTCAATTGTGGTGACCTATCCATAAAAATTGGCTCAAAGGAAGTTTAGGCATCTTGATCCAAACTGGAATAGCTAGAAGACGTGAAATTAGGAATCCATTTTTGTAGAACTAGACACTTCTGCCCCCAGTCATTGTAATCTCCATCTCTTCAATCGGTTTAAATCTAAAGAACTGAAAACATCTCCAAATTGGACTGAAAGCGCCACATTTTTAACCAAATTTTCATATACTTCTATTCAGGCTTGCTACCAAAAAAAAAATAACCAAATAACGAATGACTCCATCTTTCTGCACAACTCTTATACATCTTTTCAT